GCACTTGCGGTTTTCTAACCCAAGTTCGCAACTGTCCGTCAACCTCGATGGTCACCTCTTCTTCCGTTTGTTGGGGAAGAAATTTTCATTGATGCAGATGCCCGCCATTCGCACTTCCTAATCGGCAAACCTTTTCCTTTGTTGAATCCACCACTCGATCGCGGTCTTGGCAGTCGATACTTACTTTCTGTCTTGCATAAGTAGCTGCTCGGGGATCCACATTTTTATCACTCCCGTTATATGATTCACCGGGAACGGTTCTATAATTACTGCGACTGGTTCTTCTACTTGGATACCTCCACTGTCAATCATTTTCTGTATGACATTCTGAAAAACCTCTCAATCACTAATTCCATGTGTCATCGACATGTGATAGTTGCAGTAAGTCTTTCCCTCTATATCGGCAGGTTTTGGCTGTCTTTGCCCCTTCCGATAAGTCACATGGCCTGTTTTTAACATATCCTCAAAAATCACCTCTTGCTGGGTGATATCAAATGAATACGTCCGTCTCGGATTACTAGGATCAGCACGCAATTTTGCCCCAGTAGCTGTTCCCGGTCCTGGTGGAACACCATATGCTTGTGGAGTGTTGGATTTCCGGAGGGCGTTACACTTATATCCCTTCATGTTTATTATCTCAGCCGCATTGATGTCCTCAAAGTCCTCCTCCTCTTCTAAACCAAAGTACTGGGCTCGGTTTATCGCCGGTTGATTAGGAGGGTTAAACCATTGTCTTCCACGACCCTTACGGCTTTCAGCTTCTTCTGCAATCACCTTATCCAATTGACAAATTGCCTCTGCCAACTCCCCTAAGTTCGGGAAAGCCTTTCCTATCAAACCGTATTTCAACTTAAAATTGGTCAACCCGGCGATGGCCATAGTAATGATGGTTTGCTCTGGGTATTCTCTTGGTATCGTGGCTCTCATTTGTCTAAACCTTAACAAGTACTGTTCTCCAGTTTCGGCGGGCTTTTGCTTAACATCGTGTGCGTCCACAATAGTGCGTTCTGGTTTGCTTACATAGAAGTTCTATAAGAATAACTCCTTCTAAACCTCCCAGTTAGCCACCGATCCAGGTCTCAATGTTTGATACCATTCCAACGCAGTACCAGTCAATGATTGTGGAAACAATCGTAATTTATGAAATTCATTGTTTGCTAATTATCCGCATTCCAACTCATATGTCTAGATATGATGCTCTGGCCTAGTGCTATCATCCCCTGAATATTTGGTGAACATAAGCATCTTGAATTTCCGGGGAAAAGGTTCCAAATCGACTAGACCTGGATACGGTGTTCCTAGTACCTTCGGAATCTTGAACCCCAAGTCTCTCCGCAGCACTTTTGACATTAATCGGTGCAATTCAATCTGGTCAGATGTTAACGCTGGATTGGTATTAATCGGTGGCGTTTGTCCTGTGCCAGCTGCTTGTTGCCCAACGTTTTCCGTATGTCCTTGAGCCATCGGTATCTGATCACCTGCTAGATTATTATTGATATGTGTAGCCGCCTGATTAACTGCCGGTTCCCGAGGCTGATTGTGTATCCCATTGAATGGAGGCCCTTGATGGACCAAAGGAACTCTTGCCGCTTGGGTTCCATTCCCCGTTGCACCTACTGGCGGATTAATCACCGCTACCAACTGTGGGTAGTGATCAGGGAGTTCCAACACCTGAAAATATAAAAGTTGTCCTTGTTGGTTGGCCATAGTGACATATTGCGTCTGATTTTCAGACGGTGCCTGAGTTGGCGCCCTGGGGGCGTTAGTGTTTTGGGCCGTATTAGAGCCTGCGGCAGCGATCCTGGTAGTGGCTTCCCGATTTCTGTTTTGTTCCTGCTCCACATCAGTCCATAATCGGCTCTCTTGCACTTCTTCGCTTGTAGGATGAGGCGGCATTGACGATCCACCCAACATGGCCAACAATCTATTGTCAGGAGCTACCGATTGTTGTTCTGCAGACTGATGGTTCTGCTGGTTGACTATTGCCGATTCCGTTACTGGTGCAGTGGTTGCCATTGTTTGCAAAGCTGCTGGGGAAATCGCTCCTTTGAAAATCTTACACAGAGTCATTGGCCCGAAACTTCCGGCACGCAAAAGGTCTTGTCTTTTATCCAAATTGTTTCTTCCGCGTACATCTGTTGGCTACCTTCATCTGTGTTGGACTGTCCGGAAGTACTAGCGCCTAGAGTTACCCCTTGCATAGTTATTGCTGTCGAATACGGTTGATACTGGTCGGAAATTGGTGGGGCTGATCTGCCGTCGAAAGTGAAGTTCCCATATGGAGGAATAAACGCCGGTTGACTAGGTACCACCTTTTCTTACGAACTATTGGGCATCTATTTCGAACTCGGTGTCTCGCTCAGCAATCGTGAAGACGGGCCTGCTGTAGGTTGGGACGAACCTGGAGTATCATGACCTAAAAAGTGCAAAGGATTCACACTGTAGTGTTCCGGCATCTTTCTTATTTGCTTTTCTTGCCTTAAGAAACTCGGCGTGATCAGCCATTGCCCTGGAGCTTTGATGACACTTAATTCTGCTTGCATTGAATTTACTCTTTCAACTAATATCGCCATGGCACTCATTATCTCCTTACTGAACACAGACTCACTGGTACCAATTTGCCTTGGCGAATTATCCGACGTCAACCCCTTTAAGGTCTGGGTTGACGTTTGTGTTGGAGGTGCCATACTCACCAATGTTTGTGGTGGTTCGGGAGGGATCACATCCATTGTAGCTGCGATAGTCATCCTAATTTAGTTAGCACAGAATCGTATAGTCCCACTGGGCATGCCAAAAATATGTTTGCGCAATTTTCGTCTTGGAAGAATTATACAATATATCCCTCAAACGATTGTGCATTGTTCTTAATAACTTGTGCTAAATAAATTGAATATAAGAATTTCGGGAAATAAGAATCGGCCGAAGGCCAGATTTTACTATAATTTATTTTTTAGAGATCAAGTACAGCTGCCGATAATCGGCCTAATTAGGAGAGTTCTTGAAGAACCCTAGTTTTAGAGACAAAATTGAAAATAAAAGACTGAAAATTAAAAGAAGCAATTTGATGTTATTTTGATTGTATCCTTCCCCCTACTGCTGATCTCTTTAAATAGACTTCACAAATCAAGTCGGTTCACAAATCTTTCTTTAAATCTAATTTGTCATCTCTCTAGTAATCGAACCAGCCCGCATAAAGCCCTTTGACCATGGCCCATCACTTTGCGCAACTACGGCCCAATTACAGCTTCTGTCCAATCGCAAAAAACTGACCCAACATATGTATCAAGAATTATTAGTATGAATACTACGCTTATGAAAGTATGAATATTTATAGTGCAAGACAATACAAAAATAGAATTTTAATACATATTATGAGAGTATATTAGAATTGTATAAGAACCGGAAAATTTACTTTAGTGGCTGTCTATTCGAAAACATATCTTACTGCATTGGTTGCTACCGAATTAATTTTCTTTTATCCTATTTTTTTTCCAATGTTGGGGTTTTGTTTGTGACATTGGAAACTACGAGTCCTAAATGGGTAGAAGTTTTATTTGATTATTTTACAAGAAAAAGGAAACCAACGTATACTGATTTTCTCACTAATACAAACTCAAATGATTATACGATAGATCCAGTGCAACTAATTCAATAATATAAGACTATTTACATAAATAACCTAAATTGAAACAAAAAATGTAGACGCTACACACCACACGAACGCGGGTTCAAGCTCACTAGTATCAGAAATAATTAGCTGGAAATTTGTTTTCTCGTATGTTTTCATCATTGTTACTCCAATTAATCAAGGGATTCAAGGCATATTGAATCAAATGCATTTCCAAACTGATGGTATACTTCCTTGAAATTATGTATCCCATGAATCCTCTTATTGAATGAATTTTTCTATTATCTCAGGAAGAACAATGAAGTGTAATTAGTTGTTGTAACAAAAAAGAATATAAAATAAAACTTACTCCCTCTGGCTTGAAAATAAATTTCAGATTGGATTTTTATCTGTAGCACAAATTGTACCAAAAGTGAAAATCTAAATTAGATAATAATTTTAGAACAATGAAAGTATCATATAAGAAATTTATAAAGAAAAATAATGTTAATACTTTAAATTATCAAAAATTTCAATTCCTCTCAAAAGAATTGGTCAATATGAGAAGTAAACTAGGTTGTTTGTACAATACAATTAAACCATATGCTAAGTAATTTAATCATTAAATAAAATATGTTATTTTTATTAATATATTAAAATTACTAACGCATTATAGAATATGATACTTGGTAGGATGTACTCTCTCTGTCCAAAAATTATAGTCCAGTTTTGATTTATATTTTTAGTACATATTAAATTAAAAGTGAAAATTCAAATTGGACAATAATTTGAGGACATAAGTAATATCTTCTAATTAGAATTTGGATACCTAATATGTAATTCGATTTGACAACTATCCGTGATAATTTTTTTTTGATGAATTATAACAATTTTGATGAGTTACACGTGAATTATCGCTTTAAGTGTTTATTTATTCATTTTGCCTTTTGAAGGTGAAGCAATAAGCTTATTTATGAGGGTTAAAAATCATCAAATTAACACAAAAATGTGAGTTATTTTTAGGGTAACTATTTTGCCAAATTTGTTCACTTGCAGTAGATCAAAGTTATTATAAATTTTAATCTATTCAGAAGAAAATGTAGTTCAATTCCAAACTTTCTCTTATCATACACTTATTTTTTAAAAAAATATCATACACTTACTAATGAATAAGAGACGCTATCATTATATATGGTCGAATGCCGACTATATTATGCCATAAGATGAGTAATTTTTTATTTTTTTTTATAAGTACTCTTCTGTCCTAAAAAAACATTCATATTGATGGTACAAATTTCAAAATTCAATGTGTAATAATCTTTTGGGGTTGAAGGATTCGAGAGAGAAGAGAAACCGCAAATTAAAAGGATGGTAGAAACTAGAAACTATGAAACTGACCGTTGCCAATGATTGTCTTTTGAGCTCTATGTTAACTCCTTGACTAGTACTGTGATAATTATTCAAACAAACATCATAGAGAGGTGAAATCTATCATGCTCATACTCTTGTCTATATATATACACTGATTCATGAATTTCTCAGATTACTACAGAGATTTAAACCAAAGAACAGATAACTCTATCTTCTCAACAGAACGGTGCTACACTGCAGTACTACAAGTTGCTGCATATTGCTAATTGCCGCACAAAAAGAACCTACCTAGTATGACAGCTTTAAGAAAGCGATCTTCACAGCACAAGAGCAGAGCAGAAGCTTCTTTTCCCCAGAGCATTCGAGCTTGCCATTGCCCATCCACAGCCCTCCTGATAGTACTCAACAGTCCTAACCTGTGATGGTATAGAAGAGGATGTGATGAATGATTTTAGTGGAGACACTGACCACAAATTGAACTCAACAAATAGAACAGTTTTTCGAAGTCTTTGTCCCACTCTGTTAGCCGGGCTATATAGACTATGAGTCATGAATGCACTGTCCGAAACTTTAACTCACCGAATCTAAAATATCCTGGTCCCTATTCACCCCACCAATGGCATATATCTTTCCTCCAGTCACCACAGCAGCAGAATAACCCCTAGGATATTGCATTGGTTCCCCCATCATCCAAGAACCGACCCGGGGGTCAAAAATCTCAACAGTAGATGTAATTGCCTGTCCATCATATCCCCCCAAAGCATACCTGAAATATGAGGTTGTTGATTTGATGAGGGCATTAGATAGTTTGATAGATCAAACTCTACCAACATCAGAATGCAGGTATATTTTGATTGTGTTTACACATATTACAACTTAAGAAAAGAAGCTTGGCTTGTTGACATCTTCATCAATATCAGGAAAAGTCCTATGGTTTGAACTCGGGGGAATATGTAGTGAACTATATTTGAGGCTCCACTACCAGTTAGCAGAGTCTAGAATTGACATAAATTTGCCAAGCAACACCATAAGTATTTTACCAGGCACCAAAGCATGTTGAAAATGCATGTTGACACTACAAATAGCCAACAGCATGAAATGAAAAGTAACACATTGAATATCTACCATGATACAAACTCATCCCAAGTTTTGATGAAAACATAAATCTTCATATGTAAGAACCCCTTGACAATGTTGTTTATATCAAGAAATTTTCCTGCACATATAGGTATAGTGAATGAGATCCAACCACAGGGATGGGACATAACGTAAGCTAGTACAGAGTTGAGTGTGTCTGGGCTTTCTACTCTGTCTTGATAGCATAATTCCTTGATAGTGCAAGCACATCGATACCAATTAAGTAATAGGATCATGGTAAATAGGAACAGGGAGTCAAATACATGCATGCATGACAATCAGATCATTCTGTAAGAATTTCCTTTTGGGACAAATACACTGCTCCCCAGAAATGTATCTTTATAACCCAGTGATTAGAGAAAATTGCCAGGACCATACAGTAACTATATTAACATGTTTTGACAAATAAAGGCCACCATATAGTATGAAAATTGGAACTTACAGTTTTTCATTTAATGCAGCCAAAGAGTGGCATCCCTTTGGTGTGCTCAAGCTCTCAATTTCGGTCCATCTAGGTTCTCTAGGATCAAACCTTTCAACAGAACTGCCAGGCAAAGCAACATCAATTGTTTCAGACAACAAGTAGCAAGCAGAACACCTTGCTGCACCAAATTTTACAAATGCTACTACTTAGGAATCTCTTTCTGAACAGCAGCAAAGATTTAGATTGAGCTCGCATGCATAATATTCGGCTCACATGGAAAAGGGAATGCTGTACAGGGTTTTCAACCAGAAGTCTGAACTCAATGCCACCAGATCCCTCAAAATGATACTTTATCAGCAAAAATGTTGATATCTCTATACTACTTGCAAAAATTAATAATAAGAATTTTGCCTCTCATGAATAACTATAGATATGAACAGTCTCAGCTGTACGCAGAAATTAAACAACAAATGAACCTAAGCAAGCTTACAGAGATGGCTAATTAATACTTATAAAAGATCAGAAATCAATTTGACAACATACGAGTATGTGCTTAAGAGATACTAGAGGAAGTGCAGCATCTGAATTATTGATACTTATAAAGACTATAATCACATTACTTCGTAATGAAATATTAGTCAATATATCCTTGAGAAAAAAAATTCTAACAGAAAATAAGACAAGCATTAAGTACCTTGAGTGAAGCATCAATAAATAAATTCTGAACAGAAATTACGAAATCATTTTAGACAGACAATGATATCGTGTCTCACCTTAGGTACTTGCTGCCGTCGTACCCACCAACAACATAGAGCACACCATTTACAGTTGCAACTGTGGGCCCAAATCGCTGCAAGGCAACAATAAGAATTGGTAAATTGAAAACACAAACACCATACAAAAAGCATGACTTATCTTGTAGGATGCGACTTCGTCAAAACCATGTTCTTTGTATACTACATACAACAGGAACTACACAAACATCCCTAGAGGTTTGGGGAAGCCGCACGGAGCAGACAACGAAATCTTAACTCTGAATTCTGTATGTAGAACACAAACTAACGATCTAAGCCTAATTTAGCATTGAGTATATGACTTTACTAAGGTCTTATCTCAAATGTTAAGGAAAACATTTTTGCCTACATAAGAATTTTATGAAATTATTATCAAACAAGCCCAGTGATTTAAAGAAACCGGAAGGTATATGAAAGATAAAGTAGGAAAGTTCGAAACTTTTTGGAGTCAACTCAAAAAGCATAGCACTTTGGAGCAACCACGTTTTCATTATTTCAGTTTCTCACGTATTAAGAATACCTTCAAGAGTTTAGTTGTTGAATGTTCACTGTTCGATTCACTCAATGCAGTCACTCTATTATGATTTGTGTTTGGCACAGCAGCGTGATTCTCTCAACTTAAACAGAATTCAAAGCTTATTTTCAAATTCGAGCAGGTGAGTTACGTATATCACGTATGTTTCGAGCCTCGTAATGCAAATTTAATTTGTTTTTCTCAACTTCTATGGAATATTAATGTTATTTTACAATAAAATGAGCAAATCAGGAAATTTGTGGGAAATAGATACTATTTACTAGGTCGACCCTTTTTAATCAGTGTTGAAGGTAGATAATTATTAGAGACTGCAGAATTGCAAACTCCCTATATTGATCAGTAGGCATATAAGTAGATTCCTCAAAACTAAGGGTCCCAAATTTTTATTTATTATTATTATTATTATTTGTTTCCTGCAAACCTCATGGAAGGTTGAGGTAACTCACCCTATACACAAAAACAATTTTGATCTGACTTATGAAAGATTTTCTGCTTGGTTAGTCTAACATGTTAGCTTTGCCAGGGAAAGAGATGGATTGGGTGGTAAGTTGGATGGCTTGTAACCAAGAGGCACAGGTTTGATAAGGATGAAAAAACAAGTAATGTATATTTGAGGTGAAAATGATGAAATACCTTCTGTTGCATTGACTTTGTGAAGATCCATTTTCCAATGTTCATATCGAGCAATTCCACCTCTGAGAAACAATCAACTCCATTTCCACCACCAATTGCATATAAATTATCATACACAGGTATCCCAGCCAAACTTCCTTTTTTTTGATTTAGTGAAGGTCGCGTAACCCATTGATCATGCATAAGATTGTATGACTCCGCTACAAAAAAGTTCACAGCAATGGAAGTGAGCAAAGGTACCGGATTCATTACAAGGGTGGAGAGAGGTTTCCATACATACCTGTGTCGTACCAAATATTATCATGCACACCACCAAATAGGAACACTTCACCATTCAACTGTGCTGCTGATGAGAAGGACCGCGGGAAGGTCATTGGTTCGAGAGCTTTGACAAGGTCAAAAGTCGTAGAGTACATACAGAAATCTGATAACCAACTTGAACCATCAGTCCCTCCAATTACAAGTATAATGTCATTAGATAGTGCAGAAGGATCATAGCCCTTATCAGAATATCCACTGGAAGAGGAAGTTGCCATAGAAGTAAATATCTTTACTTGTTTTCTCAAATTTTGAGTCTCCACTTTTGATTGAACCTAAAAGGAAAGGAAAACAAAATCCAGATTCAACTTAAAGTGTGACGAGGAAAGGATTGATAACATGATGCAAACTCTGCCAAAATTCACAACCTTCAACTCTTTATGAATGGAGCAGGAATGGAACTAAAATTAACCCTACTGTTACTATAAGATAGATGGAAAATGAAGTTTACTAGCTGTTGTTCCAGGGAACTGATTTTCGAATTTTGTTTGAGCTGTGACGCCTTTAACTCTTCAAGTTCTTGCATTAGCTACAGAAAGAATGGTTGAACGGCATCAGGAATACTCAAAACCGGAGAGGATGAGCCAGTAGTATATTTACGTACTCTTTAATAATAGTAAAAGAGTACCTGATAAATCTCAGACTGCAAATTACATGATTGAGTCTCTGAATACTCCCAACAATTCCCTAGAATACTGTTTGTGTATCTTGTATCATTGTCCCAAGAACCCTCCAGAGGAGAAACCAGAGGAATACATGACGATTTCCATTCAGAATTTGGCTCAGATGCATGATCAAGATTTTCTATAGGCACATCGCTTACTTCTATATCCCATTCATCGGCACAACCACCATAACTCTGGACTTCTCTGTGTAGAGGAGATGAAGGACGTGAAGCCTGCAACTTCATGTAAGATTTATCTGATAAAGGTACCAATTCTGAAGTTTGTGTCTTTAAGATCTTCCCTTTTGGTAGGCTTTCAAAAGCTGCTGAAGTTTGTGGATGCTGTGATTTCTGAAGAAGGGAAGTGTCTGTACCCTTGAGGACAGCTGCATAAGAACTTGCACCTTCTTGTTCAAGGCTTGCATCAAAGCCTTCCCCGGTTTCCCATTCGTTTCCCCCATGAACTGTCTCCCCACTATCAGGGAATGGTACCTGTTTTGAAGTCCTTAGCTTTGGAATATTCCCTTTTGGTACACTTTCAGAAGCTGCTGATGTTTTAAATAGACAACTCCATGATTTCGGTGGAGAGGAATTGTTTGCACAATTAGGAACGGGCATGTATGAAGATTCACTATCCTGTTTGAGGCTTGCAGCAAAGTCTTCCCATGTTTCCCATTCTACTTCTTTCTCAACTGGAATATCAGCTATACCTTTTAAATCAGGACCTTTCCCTCGATTATCAGCAATCGCCTCAATATCAGGGACAAGTAAAGTGTTCTGCAATGACCTCCCTGGTAAAGTTGCAGATGAGAAAAGGTCTACTAACTTGCTGGTTTGAGTTCGGTCCAGCTCGAACCAGAAAAGATTTGGGTTAATTGGATCATAATAGTTCTCAGCAATTACTGGAGCAAACTGTTCCTCCATCAATGGCCGACATTGACTTCTTACCCGAACTTGGACCTTTTAAGAGAAAAGAAACAACCAAAATGAAATTGATAAACAATATCTTAATTCTACAACCTCCTCCAATATAAATCCCAATACACCACTAAAAAGAATATTGGAAGGCGCTGCCTTTTTACCTGTGCTGGATAATCGGTTGGGATGCTCTTTGCAGTCCAGGCATATGGATCGATATTTAATCGGCCTGGGCTTATAGCTTCATAAATACCATGTAGCTTCCTGTCACTGCAGTTGAACAGGAAAAGAACCATGCCAGGAGTTGCATTCCTCACATAGGAATAATGTCTGGATGGCAGTCCTGTCAATGTATCAGGGGCGTAAAGGACCAAGAGAATGAGAAAATTGTTACATTAACCAGCACAAGGGAAAGGAACATAAGAGTGTGATAAAATATGGCCACTGACCAAATAAACTTCTTTTTTTGCATTCTGCTATAGTGTAATTCTTGCAGCCAAATATGACACCACCAAGTTCGCTTTTCCTCAAATTTCTGGTGGACACAGTGCATCTACCTGTCCACTCAGGCTCAGCTTTCTCTATATGTGGAAGTGTATTTGCCTTTCTCCCAGCATCCATGCTGTCAATAATCATAGTTTTGGGGTCAGAATGGCAAACAAATAGTATAGACTTCCCAAGAACTAGGAGACCAGTCATAGATGTTGACCACAAACTATCAGGTTCAACAATGCCTTTGAACAATCTAATAACTTAGAAAGGATACATTTGCTCATAAAATTTTTGGTCCTGAATAAAATGAACCCCGTTTGATTACTAAATTATAAAATAAAAATAAAAAAAGGTGCTGAATTATTCAGTGATGAGGTTTGATGGTAAACCAATTCATAGTTATCAACTGAAGATCCCAAAAGGATAGAGAGCCTCAGTTGAGAAATACATATAGCTTCAATAATTCCATTTTTTCAGTTAAGTTTTTTGTATAGAACATCACTCCCTAGATGTCAGCAGAGAAGCTAAAGTTTGGACAGGAGGGATCAAATTGTGCAATGAATATTAAAAATAGTAATCCAACATAACCAGCAAAAGGAAACAGAGCATGTACTATCAGGTGAATTCCACAAGTTATGGCATGAAAATAAGAAAGTATGTGTTATGGGCACAAGGTTGAAGGAAAGAAGAAGAAGAAGCAATTGAAGGTTTCAGAGCACTTTAAGTTGGTGCGAATTCCTATCATCAACCATGCATGTCATGGAAGTTTACCACAGGCTGACCTCTATAATGATTTGGTTGAGTATAGCTCAATTAGTCAATTAGACAGGTCAAAGTGCTTTCTCCCTAGTCAATTTTATTGTCACATATAAACAATTCTCTATCCCAAATATAATATTCAGGCCAAAATCCACAAACATACAAAAAAGGAGAAACATCATCCCACCCAATCAAACCCCAATTTTAGAAACACTTGAAGTAAAGGCTCAATTCAAACACCAAATTTCCTCCTACTTGTACCCCTTTCGATGGAGAAATTGGACAACCCCGTCTTTCCCAAGTTCAAAAAACCACATCCTCACATCCCAAACTTTTTGCCCTTTTCAAATTCATGTAGGAATCGAGAGGATTTCAGATGGCAAATTATAAAAATCTCAGGGAAAAAAAAAAGGGAAAAATTGAGGGAAAGAAGAACAATTAACCAATAATTTCATGTACGTGTACACAATCCATGGTCAAAAAGAAGAAGCAAAGAAAGAAAATCCCCTTTTCTAGCAGTAAACCCATCATCGCCCATCACGAAGAACATCAAGATAGAAAAATTAAAAAAAAAAAAAATTAAAGCAAAATAACGAGAACCCATAAAAACAAAACCCCTTGGAGCCCATTAATAACAACGATCGTACACATTTTATGCACAAAAATTTTAAAGAACGAAGCTAAGAAGAACAAAGGGAAAGAGGGTATTAAATTACTTGAAAATGGCTGTGCAGAATTCCTCTGTTCAGGGCTTTCCGGAACTCAGTAGTTTATCACCATAACAAGACCAAAAGAAGAATGTATATGTCGATGAAGCTAAAACCCAAGAAAAAAAAAAAAAAAAAAAGCTTCTCCTTTTTCTCTACAGGGCTGCTTAGATTCCCATTCGTTTAGGGTTCAGAGTAGCAGAAATGACTTAGACCATAACCATGAACAGCACAGAAAAAGGTGCAAAAAAATGGAGATGAAAAAGGAGGAGAAACTGGAGAAAAAACTAGTGATGAATATTCATTGAATTCGAGAGAATTAATTAAGATGATTTTGCAATTTTAAGTTCGAGTCCGATTTCGTACGCAGGTGAAAAAGCTGAAAAGCTTTAACGTTGAAGTCTAAAACGCGCCTGTGGTGGTGGTGTTGTACGTTGGTCACAGTTTGTATCTGCTGGACTATTGCCACCTCTGCGCCGGAAAACATAAAATATTTGTTTATAGCTCAAATTACTTAATTACCCCTGACGTTTCATCTTTCAGTTAAAGTGTTTCTCTTTTTTTTTTTTTTTTTTTTTTTTTGTGGGTACGTAAAGCTCAATAATGGTTTCCAAAGTTTTGAGGGTAACTCAATAGTGGCAGCTATTATCTTTTCTTTTCTTTTTTTTGTTTCATAAAAGGAATGAAGAATGGACCGAAGGTATTTGATAAATTATTCAAGTTGTAGTTTCTTGTCTTATGTACTTTGTGTCGAAGTGTTAGAGAGTATTATGGTATTTTGTGGATTGTTAATATGTAGTTCCTTCAGTCCATTCTTCTTAGATTATAATGTTGTTTTCTATTGATAGATAGGAATTCATACGTTTTATTCTTCGTTTTAAAATAGAACTGTCGAGGGAAGCAATCTTTGTAAATTATATGTTTTATTCTTTGAAGTGTCATGGAAATTTTTTATTTTATTATTATTATTATTATTATTTTGCATATGACAAACTCTTTTTCTTAGATAAGTCTTTAACACGGGCTTTTGTAATATACTTTTCTATTTTAATAAACTCGGAAGATGCCCTCCAAGCATTGTCTTAGATTTTTTATTTTTTAAAAAAAAAAAAGAATTTCAAAGTATCAAGATAAATTAAAGCATATAAACAATCCGATGAATTGAAGAATTAAAGTAATTTCATATTAAAAGCAATAATAAGTAATTTTGATTGAGTAATGAATTAACAAATTATTTTTTACTGTTTAATGATTAAGCGATTCAAATGCAATATTTGTTGATTGTTGATCTCAATAGACGATACGTGTCAATTACACTAATTTCCTTTAATATATATATATATATATATAATCCTTTAATAGACGAGCGCACATACACACACACATATATATATATACATATATATTATTAATTATCCTTCATCATCAAACAATATAATGAACCTTTGATCTCCCTTTCATTATTTTCTTTTTTTTTTCCCTTTCATTATTTTCTTTCTTTTGATTTTAAGAAGATTAGAGAAATGACATTTTTCATAATTAGGCTAATGTGATCAGTCAAAAAAAACAGTTTCGGTGATTCTAACATATCTAAATTCCTCATTGTCTTTTCTTGTTTTCTTCTCTCCTTTAAAATTAAGAGTTTAATTAATGACAGTTTAGATTGTTCCATAACTCAAAAGAATATTAAAAATCAAGCATAAATATAATAAATGTATCGATATATATTTCTTAACAGTGTAAAAATTTTGTCACTTTTATTTTTTCCTTTCTTCCAAACTTTTGGTTTTACCTCTCTATCCCAAGTCTATTAGAGGATAATCATCTTCCATTATCTATTTTCATCTTTTTCTTTAGGAGTTTAGTTTTTGCAATTCATATTTTTTTTCTTCTTCTTTTGGTCGTTCTTTACTTTCTTTTTGGTGATGCAGAAATTTGAGTTTATTTTATTATGCATTTTGCATGTCTTTTTTTCACCATCGAATATTATATGTCATTTCTGTTGAAATAAAAAATGACACGTTTTAATGATATTATTTTATTCTTGTGATGTAAGATTATATATTTTTTTACTATCAATAAATTTTTCGAGATATTTTGTATATATAATAATGTAACGGATATCAACGTAACTCACAATTTCATAATTATTTGATATATAATTTACATAATATCATTGTGCATAACTTACGCGAGTGCGTCTGATCGATCTAGTCGTGTTATGAAGGAAACAATTCTTGTTTTCATTTTGGTTGTCTTTTGCAAAGAATAGATATTACTGCATTTAAACAGAAAGTTATAACATATCCAATGTGTTAGAGATAGTATTGGGACGCACATTTTGAAACAAACGCTACATATGGCCCTGTAGAATTAATATAATTAGGCATGTTACAGACAAGTTTTAAAAGAAATTGAGAGTCTATAACTTTTGAAATAATTTTACCAACGATATTTCAAAAAGATTTGTAAAATTTGGCACCAAGACTATCAGGAGTGGCTTTCTTGATGGCCTTTTCAGAAATTTTTTTTTTAAAAAGGGTTACTCTGGATGTTCTTTTGATTAAGACCTAAAACCCCACGAAATACAAGTGATAATTCTTAAATTAGTAGTAATTAAGTTTCTGGAAATCTGATCGTGATCAAAATTTTGACGAAAATTTCTTATTTGTTGTCTGCTGGCGATCAACGTACGACAATGGTCCGAGAGTTTCGCCACCGTCGTAACGGTGGTTGACAGCGCCTATTGACGACTTGATTTGGTGAAAATTAATAAAATATCGGGACAAAACTTATCGTGTGACAAAATCTTACAACCAAAAATCAAACCAAGACCCATAGCCCATAGGCCAACCAGATATTCGTTTTAACATTTTATATTTGATTATGAATTTAAAATAACACATGAATAATATTTTTGTTGGTGGTCATATTTGACCTTCCTGGACCGGCCCAATCGGCCCACCAACTTGGGCTGATTTCATGAACTCAACTCGTCTATTTAGTTAATTCTTTTGGGCCCAACCGATCCACAAAGAATTAACACATATCTATTTACGCTTTTGCCCCTCTTGACAAAGGGGTCCACAGGTATTGTCCCATTGGGGACCTATAAATACTCCTTGATTCATTTATTGCAATTCAATTTTTTCCACACTCCCGCTTTCTCTCTCTAAGTGTGGTAATAAATTACTTCTCTCAAGGACTGACTTGACCTTCGGAATGCTAACCTCCTTTTTGCAGGTTCCAGTCTAGGTCGGACCGAGGGCTCCGTTTCCGGGATTTACCCTCGACAAGTGGCGCCGTCTGTGGGAAAGGTCCTCTCTTTCCCGGTTGGCCGAGGGCGAATCCAGTTGTGCTACGAGCAATGGTCTCCACCCGGACAAGACCCGATGAAGGGACAAGTCGCAGGCCTGGATTGAGATCGAAGGTTGTAGGAGGAAGTTCTCGCGTATCCGCCCGATCCCGTGATGAACGCGGGGACAAGGGGGACGCCGAAGAAGCTTCCCGCACCAACGACCGCCAGGGTCGCTCCCGAAAGTTCGACATCACAGGGGCGGTCGGGACCATGGATCAGCCGAGCACCGCAGGAGTCGGTCCCACCGGACCAGTAAGGAGGCAGGGAGGAGCAGAGAAACTTCCAGGCGTTCTCGCCCATCTTGTTCTCCCGAACGGGGACCACATGATGACCGCTTCTGGAGATCCTTTGCCGGGAGATTCCCAGGGTTCGAGGAGCAGTTTAAAAAATTCGAAGACATGTACTACGGAGGCAAAGGCGAGGGCCCGGATGACAGTCTCATGTTCATAGGGGAAAGGAGAATTCCTCGGGATCGACATCGTTCCCAAGAGCGTGACCCTACCCCCACTAGGCCTGAGCCGAGGATGGACCGCGAGGGTGTGTCAGATCCCTGGCTCGAGGCCATACTCAATGGTAGAGAAACGCTCGGAAGCCCTTTTGCCGAACACATCCGATGTTGCCCGCGGCCGACTAACTTGAAGCTCCCCACGGATATCCCAAAGTACGGAGGGGATACCTGTCCGGTCAGCTTCCTGGCCGATTACACCGCTGCCATGGACTTGCGGGACTCTCCCCGGGAGTTCTCCGCCAAGGCGCTGCCCACTTTCTTGACGGGTGCTGCCAAAATATGGTTTGATAGCCTGCCCCCAGGCAGTGTCACTTCTTATGCGGACTTGGGATGGAAGCTCCGCGTGCAGTTCTTTTCCAGCAAGAGGGCCAAGCGCACCATTCACGACTTGTCCTCGGTCCGTCAGCGCCGGAACGAGTCCCTGGGGGAGTACTACGAGAGATTCACGAAGGAACTCATGATGATAGACCAAGTCGATGATCTAGTAGTACGGGTCGAGTTCGTGAATGGCCTCTCTCCCTTTGGCGCGGGCGCCGCTCTGTGGAGCAAGCTCACGGCAAAGCCTCCCGCCACCACCCAAAGGCTATGGGAAGTAGTAGAAAAGGAGATCCGGACAGATGAGTCCATGAAGAGGGCTAGGGAGGCCTTTGCCGAAGGCGAGAAGAAGAAGCCGGAGGCGAAGAAGCTCAGCATCGGATCTCCGAAATTCGACTCCAAGATCCCCGTCCTCACTAAAACCAGGAAGGAAATCCTCCAAATTCACAAGAGCGAGTTCAAGCTTCCACCTCTAGGCAGGTCTCAGGATGAATCCTCGTCTGAATGGTGCGACTTTCACCGGAGCAAAGGGCACGATACCGAGGATTGCCATAGGCTGAAGAAGGAGATCGAGGAGGGCCTCAAGGCGGGCAAGTTCCAGGACTGTGTCCAGAAGGGGCCCCAGGAGAAGGCGTCAAACCGGCCCAGGAACCGGAAGTGGAAGAGGAGTAAAGCTAAGGTCATCGACCAAGCCCCCGCCGGGGATGGGCCTAAGGCCCAGGACGGTGTTAATCCGGCGCAGGCTCGGCAGATCTTGGCCGCCCCCGTAGGCGCCATCTTTGGCGCGCCCTTGGGGGTTCAGAGTGTTGCCGCGCTCCGCAGAAGTTCACGTCCCCGACCGCCGGGGGAGTCCGAAGCTAAACGCCTTCGTCCCGGGGAGGTGATATCTTTCTCGGAGCAGGACCTGGTGGCCGGCTCTGAAGATTATTCCGACGCGCTTGTCATCACAGCCATAGTCGCCAACAGGGAAATTCGGCGGGTGTACGTGGATAATGGTAGTGCAGTGGACATCATGTACATTGATTGTTTCTAAAAATTGGGCCTCGATAAAACTCTGCTCTGCCCCGCATCCATACCACTGGTCGGTTTCTCCAACCACACCATTATGCCTCTAGGCATCATCAGTCTGTCCGTCACCGTAGGGATCTATCCCAAGGATCGCGTGATCTTAGTCGACTTCGCGGTGGTGGACGTCGTGGCCCCCTTTAATACCATTCTTGGGAGACCCTGGATGGCTAAAGCGAAGGCTTTTTATTCACCTTACCATCTGGTCATGAAGTTTCCGACCGAGGCGGGTATTGCAGAAGTTCGGGGAGACCAGCAGTTAGCCCGGCAATGTATGGTCATCGCTGCCAAGAAGGGACGCGACTTTCTCCAGGAGAAGGCGACCATCGGATCCATCCAGAAGGCCCCGGCCTTTGAAGAAGAGGACCCAGTTACCGACAACCCTGTTCCTGCGGATGAAGAAGTCACCGACGTTGCTTTGAATCCATTCGTGGAAGGAAGGGTCATTAGCCTTGGGGTGGCTTAGCCCCCTAGTCTTCGGGACCTGGTGATAGAATTGTTGAAACAGTTCGAAGATGTTTTTGCTTGGAGCCCCAGCGACATGACGGGAATTCTCCCTGAGTTGGGCGTGCACAAACTCAATGTCGATCCTCGGGCCCGGCCCATGCAGCAGAAGAGACGGAAGATGGCCCCCGAACGCAATGCTACCATCGATGCGGAAGTTGCCAAGCTCTTATCCGCGTCCATCCTGAAGGAGATCTGTTACACTACATGGTTGGCTAATCCCGTTATGGTCAAGAAACCCGACTCTTTCTGGCGTATGTGTGTGGATTACAAGGATCTCAATAAACACTGCCCGAAGGATTGCTATCCCCTTTCCGCCATTGAACAGAAGGTCGATGCTATCTCGGGGTACCCAATACTTAGCTTTCTGGATGCGTATAAAGGGTACCACCAGATCCTTATGCACGAGGATGATGTTGAGAAGACCACCTTCGTCATTGAGAAGGGGATGTTTTGTTATGTCAAAATGCCATTCGGACTCAAGAATACGGGAGCCACCTACCAACGGATGGCCAATCGTATCTTCGGAAGCCAGCTGGGACGAAACATAGAGGTTTACGTGGATGACATGGTTGTGAAAAGCAATAGGACGGACCTCGTGGTTGAAGATCTCCGAGAGACCTTCGAGACCCTCAGGTCGTCCAACATGAAGCTGAATCCTAAAAAGTGTGTGTTCTGCGTCGGGTCCGAAAAGTTCTTGGGTTTTCAGATTTCTCGGAGAGGAATCGACGTAGACCCTACGAAGATTCGAGCCATTCTGGACATGCAAGCCCTGCATTCCGTCAAAGAGGTACAGAAGCTTACGAGTTCAATCGCAGCCTTAGGACAGTTCTTGTCAAAGGCGGCCGAACGGAGCCTGCCCTTCTTCCAGGTCCTCAAAAAGTCTGATACCTTCGGCTGGACTAAGGCGTGTCAAAAAGTCTTCATCGAACTTAAGGAGCATTTGAAGACTCTTCCAACCCTGAGTACGCCCGACCCGGGGGAAACTCTGATTTTGTACCTGGCCGTAGGAGACTCCACCGTGAGCGCAGCGTTGGTGCGGGAACATAGGGGAACGCAGATTCCAGTTTACTACATCAGTAAGGTCCTCCTGCCTGCCGAGTCTCGATACACTACAGCGGAGAAGTTGATATTCTGCCTTGTGAATGCTGCCCGAAAGCTACGCCCATACTTCCAGGTGCACCCAATCCTCGTTCTTACAGACCAGCCCCTACAACAGATTCTCCGAAAGTCCGACACGTCCGGACGGATGGCTAAATGGGCTGTGGAACTCGGTGAGCATGACATACAGTTTCGGCCTCGAACTTCAATCAAGGGTCAAGCCCTGGCCGATTTCATTGTCGAAGTTCCCCAAGGGATGGAAGCCGCTGATGAAGAATGTCCTCAAGACGCCCCCTTGACTCCCGCCGGATCGCAAAGTTGGACGTTGTTCGTGGACGGATCTTCTTCCAGGGAAGGTTCGGGTGCGGGGGTGGTTCTGACCGATCCCCAGGGGTCGGAGATTGTCTATGCCATTCAACTGGACTTCCCCACCACGAACAATGAGGCCGAATACGAAGCGCTAATCGCGGGGCTTTCAATTGCCCGCGCCCTCGGAGTCCAGGAGGTGTCGGTCTGCAGTGATTCTCTGGTGGTCGTCAATCATGTCCTCCAGTTGTACGAAGCTCGGGAAGCGACCCTCCAGAAATACCTTCAAAGAGTCAGGGTGCTGGAACGCGGCTTCTGCGCCTTCCACATTCGGTACATTCCTGGGTCGCAGAATAAAAAGGCTGATGCCTTAAGCAAGTTGGCCTCTTCCCACGCCGTACGCTTGACCCAGCGGATCCACATCGAAGTCAAGACACGCCCAAGTATTCTGGAAGACGAATCTTTGCCCGTGGTGATTGACGAAGCCTCCTGGATGACGCCCTTCGTTCAGTACCTCCGAACGGGAACCTTGCCACCAGACCCGAAGGAAGCCCGGAGGATTCGGCTCAAAGCGCCTAACTTTCTGCTCAGAGACGGGATCCTCTACAAGCGAGGGTATCTGACTCCTCTGCTACGCTGCGTGGGACCGCGGGAAGCTGAAGTCTTGGTGCGGAGCATGCACGAGGGCGCTTGTGGGGCACACTTGGGTTCGCGAAATCTGGCCAAAAAGTTGATCCGCGCCGGGTATTACTGGCCTACTCTGGCCAATGCCAAAGACATGCTCCCATTCCGTATCTCCCCCAACACGAAATGGTCCCAATTACCAGCCCTTGGCCTTTCTACAAGTGGGGCACGGACATAATAGGACCATTCCTCGTGGCCCCGGGCAAACTCAAGTTTGTGATTGTCACAATTGAATACTTTTCTAAATGGGTCGAGGCAGAGCCTCTAGCCTCCACCACAGGGGAGAATGTGGCCAAATTCTTCTGGAAGAACATAGTCTGTCGGTTTGAGATCCCGAAAGTCCTCGTCTCGGACAACGGAACCCAATTTGAATCAAAGATTTTCTCATCCTGGTGTGAACAGCTAGGGATCGAGCAACGGTTCTCGTCCGTGGCCCATCCTCAGGCCAACGGGTTAGCTGAAAACATAAACAAGGCCATCCTCCAAGGCATGAAGAAGCGACTAAAGAAAGCCGAGGGGCTATGGCCCGAGGAGCTGGCACACGTCCTCTGGTCCATCCGCACCACTATGAGAACGACAACAGGGGCAACCTCTTTCAGCCTTGTTTACGGTATGGAGGTCGTCCTTCCAGCTGAAATTGAGGTCCCCAGCCCCCGTGTGGTCAACTTTGCAGGAGAAATAAACGAAGGCGAAGTCCGCATGTACCTCGATTTCCTGGATGAACGTCGAGACCTGGCCAAGGCTCGCGAAGCCAGATACAAACAGATCGTGGCCAAGTACTACAATGCCAAGGTTCGGGCTCGGGACTTCGATGTCGGAAACCTTGTCCTCCGCCGAAATGAGGTAAGCCACGCCGAACCAACCGGTAAGCTAGCTCCAAACTGGGAGGGGCCGTACCAGGTTGTGGAAGTTTCCCCCTCAGGAAGTTATCGTCTGCGCACATGCGATGATGAACCCCGTGCCATACCCCGATGGTAGAACATCCAGAACCTGAAAAAGTTCAATGCTTAAAGGCCCCTGCTCGCTTTTGTAAAAGATATTAGCATAGGAAAGTTCCGGCACTTTTGATGAATATATAAAACTTCCCGTGCTTTCCTACCAGCGCCATTTACAAAGCCGTCTCGACCCCAGTGGCCGACGGTACCGCGTGGCCTCTGCGGCCTGCGGCACCCCGACGGTCTCCGCGACCTTGGGGCATTTAGAAAGCCGTCTCGACCCCAGTGGCCGACGGCACCGCGTGGCCTCCGCGGCCTGCGGCACCCCGACGGTCTCCGCGACCTTGGGGCATTTACAAAGCCGTCTCGACCCCAGTGACCGACAGTACCGCGTGGCCTCCGCGGCTTGCGGCACCCCGACGGTCTCCGCAACCTTGGGGCATTTACAAAGCCGTCTCGACCCCAGTGGCCGACGGCACCGCGTGGCCTCCGCGGCCTGCGGCACCCTGACGGTCTCCGCGACCTTGGGGCGTTTACAAAGCCGTCTCGACCCCAGTGGCCGACGGCACCGCGTGGCCTCCGCGGCCTGCGGCATCCCGACGGTCTCCGCGACCTTGGGGCATTCACAAAGCCGTCTCAACTCCAGTGGCCGACGGCACCACGTGGCCTCCGCGGCCCGCTTCACCCTGACGGTCTCTACAACCCTGGGGGAACTGCATGGCCGTCCTAAACAAAGCACCGTCACCCGGTGTCCGCAGATTATAGAATGCGGAAGGCCACCACGACCTTCCGTCAGGAACGATTCAACTGAACATCGACTGATCATTGTAATGACAGTAATACGACTGAAATATGAAATCCGAGGGAAGATACTCATATCGCCTTTGTCAAACGACAGCAACACGTCGGCAATAAAAAGAATTTCATATACACAACCGTAAAAACATGAATAATAATAATAAAATGAGTAAACAAAATAAATAAAGTAGTTGGGATCGAGGGTCAAAAAAGGGAGCTTAAATTTCTTAAAAATTCCATATACACAGCCCTCAGATCTATACACTTGACAAAAAACACGGGGATAACTTAACCTAATCACATGTTCTTAACGAGACCCCCGACCCAACTCGAAGAACAAAGCCTCGTTCTCATATATCAAGCGTTCGGCCTCACGAGTCAGAGAAGTGGGCTCGTCTCGCATAGCTGGACAGGGTTCGGGCCACAATGCTACAAAGTCATACTCCTTCCCTGTCTCCATGATGAAGGATATCGCGCTTTATAACCCTGTCCGAAGCTGACCGGCATATGCCCGAAGAGCCTTGATCTTATCAGAGGAACGATCCCACTTCACGGCAACCAAGGCGTAAGCCTTCCGGAGGTGTACCAGCATGCTCTCAAAGTAGTTACGGGGGATAAAATCTTCCGGATCGGGTTTGGCTAAACCCTCGTCCTTCTTCCTCTTCCGTATCTTGGCTTCGAATGTCCGAAAGCGATTGTTAGCCAACATCTCCAATTGTATAGAATTCTTTAGATGGTCTTCCCAATAAGCTTCCGTATCCCGCCATAACTTATCCAACCGGTCGTTCTCGGCCTTCGCCTCGAGAACGGCCTTACGTGCCTCGTGCAACTCCGAGGCCCGGAAGGTTTGCAAAGCCTCTTCGAGTTGCCCTTCGAGACCTGACAGTCGCCCTCGGCCCCTATCGACGTTCGGATCCGCCAAAGCCCCTCCTACGGCCGCGTAAAGTGGAAAGGTCGTAGGGTCATGGTGAGGGTCGGGCAACTGCAAGTCAATCCACGGGATCCCTGAAGTTTCCCAAAGACCTGGGGTCGCGGGCAACCCTCGAGAGGTTCCGTCAGGATGAGAGGGGAAGTCCGAAGCCGTGCCCTTCCCCTGTAAGGAAGCGCGTGTTAGCAACAAGCTATATGGACGCACATTCCCAAAGACAAAAACAAGTTTGCACCGAGGAATAGATGCTTAGATGCAGACTATAAACTGAAAATTTCCGTTAAGATGGTTCCGTTGAGATGGACACGGTGATAAATCCGAACGTGCGAAACAAGAGACAACGGAGAACAAAGATAAGTTTCATTTTTAAATAATCAAAGTTCAGATACAATGGGGAAAGCCCCGGAGAGATGATCGCTAGGAATCCTAACCCTACGCGTCGTTCACCCTACGAGTCCGTGGACGTTCCCCCTCCTCCTTGGCTGTCGGAGTTGTGCCCTTGGGGTGGAGGCTCGGATGCAATTATCTCAGGTTCCTCCTCCGGTCCCGGTGGCGTGCTGGGGGGGTGTTTCTGTTCCACTCGGCATCTGAAAAACGAACGAGGGACTGCCCGGAATGTTTAGGATGTCCTCGGGCTTCGAAACGGAGGCGCAGGCTTCGGAAATCTGCTGCATAATAGGGAGACGGGCAAAATCCATATCCCAGAAGTGTTTCCGGGCCTTGCATCGCAATCGCACCGCGGATGTCTTCCCTTTCCTGTCCCTATCAGCATACTTTTCGAGGATGGGCCGGATGTCCTCATTCTTCTTCTGGGCCGCCTCGATTTCCAAAACGACCTTCCTCGCCCCCTTTTCCATAGCAGGGTCCATAACATCGTTTATTCCGAGGGCGAACTCGGTCGACCCCAGGTACCGCTGGACCCCTGCCAAGATGTACGTGTCCAGTCCGAACTTCGGGACACTCGTGGCCAGCAAACTTTCCATCTGAAGGCAGTGGGTTAGCTCCGCGTCCTCGAGCTGCGCCTTCACCCTCGCAACCTCCTCTTCCAGGCGCTTCCTCTCCTCTTCCAGACGCGCTCTTTTCCCTTCCGAGGCCTTGAACATGACCTCCGTGTCTCTGGCCCTGTTGGCCTCGCTCGTGGCCGTCCTCTGGGCCGAGGCCAGCTGCTCTCCCAAACCCGTGCATACGGTCACAAACGTGTTGACTGCCTGCACGGCCTGCAATGTGGGCATCCTAGGTCAGCAAGGGAACACGTTTACGGAGAGAGGACCCTTGAAGTAAAAACACAAGAACTCACCTGTCTCATGCCGTCCTCCAGCCTCGCTGCTCCGGTCTCGGGTAACTCCGAGCACTCAACCCGAGGGGGATCGAAGGTCAGTAGAGCGTGGCCTGCGGGTACGTCCTCAAATAAATCGGTACCCCGACCCGGATCTGCATATCCTTCCTTCAGGAGGTCGTCGAGGGAGGATAACTCATGGATCGCTGGGAGGCTGAAAGACAGCGGATCCGCCTCCACGACCTCCGAGACTCCCCTTTTCCTCTTCAAGTGACCTGAGGGTCGGCCGGAGGAGCTCCCCCTCCTGGAACTCTCGACAGTAATGCAGAGATTCCAATCACCCCCATGTGTACAAAAACCAAAAATTCCTTTTTGATGTAGATTGTAGGTAATTGTATCTTTGATGTAATGTCTCTGTACTTTGTCTGGGTTTTTCCCCCCTTTTGGAATCTTCGATGGTTTTTCCTTTACTGAGTTGGTGAAATTGTATTGTATCTGCTTGATTGATTAATGTTTTGTTTTTACTGCGAGCTTCGGACTGAAAAAACTAAGAGTGATGTTAATGATTTAGCATCACTGTTTTTACGGATTTGAAAACGCAGTTGTCGATTGTCCAAAAATTTGATTTAAACAGGACATCTCTAAACTGAAAATCTGAAAATTCACATTTCAAACTTTCTGTTTAGAATTGAAAGGTTTATTAACAGTAAGGTTTATTTGCATATGCTTGTTTTTTGATAAGGTTTATTTGCATATGCTTCTGAAAATCTGAAAACAGGACATCTCTAAACTAAAAATCTGAAAGTTCAGGTTTATTTGCATAAATTTCCTCTATATTTGATAAGGTTTATTTGATACATTTTGATTGCTGTTATAGCCATTGTTCTGTTGTTGTTTGTTTGTCCTTACAAATTGCTGTTATAGCCATTGTTCTGTTGAAACTGAAAATGAAAGTCATTTCTTCTTTGCGGGTCCTTAGATTAAATAGGAAAAACTTAGTAAATGGTATGTCTAATAAAGTGCATTTTACTAGCTCTTTCGTTGCTTTTCAGTTTCAGAACATTTTCAACAACATTTTGTTTATAGAACACATAAAGTTTACAAATATACGTAGTTTCTTGTTAAACTTCAAATCTCTACAATATATGCCTGTCTTGGTGTGATTTTCTCCCTAGAAACTGATACAAGAATCTAAGAGATTTAAACTGAGATTCTTGGGGAAACAAATTGAAGGTTTAAACTAATTCTATGTGATGGCTAAATGAATCTATTGTATGTCTGCTGTTAATATTGCTTCTCATTTCAGTTTCAGTGAAAAAAGAATAAAGGGAAGCCTCCCTGTTGCAAACTTTTATTGTTGGTATGATTTTCATTCCTTTTCTCATTGTTGGTCAAACTTTCTTAAATTTACTATTCCTTTTGTCTTTCTCTTAATTCATTGTTTAAGTCCACTATCCATATCACATCAGTATGCAAGTTTTTATATTATTTATTTGCTTTAAACCACTTGTCATCTCATCCTTAAAATTTATAACCCATACAACCCACTTTTCATCCACGTATACCACCCACCACAACACACCTCTTACTACACTGTCACATTTTTGTCCACCTATAACCCTACATCTCTTAAATTGCCATTTCACTCTTTTAAAAAATTGCCACGTTATTGTTTCCAACCACCTACAACTTTCCTATTCTGCCAACAACACACAGATCATTTCACCTTTTCCACAACATCATCTTTAAATAGTACCAAATATCACAATTATATAGCAATTTCAAACACACAAAATGGCCACCCCCGAAAAATGCACATGTATTCACTGCGGTCAATGCATGTACAACTCTTGGTTTGAAAGAGAAGTAGATGAACTGCTGAAGAGATTCCTTTGCCATCCTATATGGAAATACGCTCTCAAAACTGCACTGAAAATGGATTGGAGCCTTTCACTGTTGTTAGAAAGAAGCACAATACTTGAAGCTGAATTAAAGACTCCTTTACATCCCATGTAATCTTATATATATAAAAATTATCCGTTGTTTCTCTTTTCTTGAAAAATTTGTGTATGAAACATTGTAAAATACGTTTTTTCACTTTTTTGTAATTGAATTCTCCCATAAAACATTATCATCAGTATATGTAACATATAATTTTGTACACTTTTCACGCTTTTTACAGTTATAATTTCCGTGCAAATACCATAAATATACAATACGATTGATTAACAAACACTTTAGCATATAAACTTCCACAACATCTTGCCTCCTCATCACCCAGCCGCACCTCGTGCGGCCTCCCCCGCTAATGTGTGTATATATATATATATATATATATATATATATATATATATATACTAAATAGTTTAGAGTAGTAGGGTTGACATTTTTTTCCTTCTGGCCCCCGCTGCTGCTCTTTCTTCTCCATTTCTCCAGTATTGCTCCTCTTTCTTCTTCATCTGTTATTTTCTCTCTTTCCTTTCTATCTTTTGACAAACCAAATCACCATTGCATATATGGAACTCTCCAATTCTCAAATCTTCAATTTTGCAGTTGCAGATCTGAACATTTTTGAGTAATTTGTCTGATTTTCTTTTCTTTTTGAAATAATTTTAATTCGAATAAGTTTCTTCAAACTTTGAAATATTTGTTCTGTTCATTTTTGGAAGAGAAAAGTGATGTTTATGCTAATGATGTTTTCGATTTGAGCTTTTTTTTGGACCACGATCTGAAATAAATTTTGTTAGTGGTATGCACAAGTTCATTGTTGTGTTAGTGTCGGTTTAATCGCTCCCGAACCGAAAATTCGATTGTTCATCCAGTTCGGTTCGATTCGGGGTAATTTTTGGTTCAGTTTCAGTCGGATCTTGTGAAAAGAAAAAATCCGATTAGTCTGAATCGCACCGAACCGTCCGAATTAGCAACCCTACTGTTTCTTTTAGGCAACACTTACGTAAATCTTGTTCAAATGAACAACTAATTCTACTTGTTCAAAAGTACCTTTAGCTGCAATCAGATGTTCCTTTGCAGCTGCCATTCACATTAACAAAAAAATCATGTAGTTCCTCCGTTCCATAATTATTGTCCACTTTGTCCAAAAAATTTTGTCCCAAAATTATTGTTCAATTTGACTTTTTATGGATCAAGTTATACATTTGTCTTTAGTAAAAAACATTATCCATAAAATCTTAGTGGTTAAACAATTACTTATATAGGGATATATCCGATTATTTAAGGTAAAATATAGTTAAGTTTGACCAAAAATAAAATATTTCATTTTAGTAAAACTGGACAATAATTATGAGACGGAGGGAGTACTACGTACCTGCTAACAGTAAAACCAAAACTACAAAACATTTGTAACTCTTCAAATTCAAATGTCTTCCAAAGTACTATCTTGCAATCTCGATAATTCTACTAAGTGAAAATTCGATGCCCTACTAACAGCTTAAAAGAGAAGAAAAGAGGCGAAAGATCGATCATGAATTTCCAATTATGATGAGTAAAGGGTGCCGCAAACTTTACTTCCTCGAAATACCTCCACTAGAAGAGGAAGTTGGCCTAGCAATAAGCATCTTAAGCTGTTCTCCCAACATTTGAGTCTCAATTCTTGAGCAAGCCTAAAAGGCAAAGGGGAAATAACAATCTATGTTCAACTTGATTATGAAGAAGAAGAAGGGCGAAACGTGATAATAAATACACCAGATCATAGCCTTCAACTTTTAACAAATGGAGCAGGCAATTAAAAAAAGGACTATGACATAAATTAACTAATGGAAGAAATTGTTTACCAGCTCAAATTCCAAGGAGCTGATTTTAATCTTCTGTTTGAGCTGTGATGCCTTCAACTCTTTAAATTCTAGCATTAGCTACAAACAAAAAAAAAAAAAAAAAAAAAAGAAGAAGAAGAAGAAGAACAAGAAATAATTACAACCAGAATACCAAAGGCAAACAGAAAGTGACATTAGTAAATTTACACGCGCGTCAAACATAGCCAAACAAATTACCTGATAAATCACAGACTGAGGATTGAATGCTTGAGCCCTTGAATCCTTCAAAAGCATCCCCAAGTCACTGCTTATATCTCCGGCATCATTGTCCTTGGAAACCTGTAGTGGAGGAACTTGGGGAACACATGGCACTTCCCCCTCACTGTTGGGGTCACCAACATGATCCGATGCAGAAGCTTTTAACTTGAGAAATCCACTTTCAACTCTTGTGGGCATTTCACTTGTTTCTGTACGCCACTGATCTGCAAAAGACCCATATTCCTCGTCTTCTTTATGCAGAGAAGATGGAAGACATGAAGTTTCATGTTTCACATTAGAGGGATATGATAAAGGTACAAATCTTGACGTTTGTGGCTTCGGAATTTCCAATCTTGGTATGCTTTCAGATGCTGATGAAGCTTTAAACAGTGAACTCCATGACTTTTCAGGGACGGAATTGGTTGTGCCATCGAGGACCGAGGCATAAGAACATTCACTTTCCTGTTTAGTGTCTGCTGCAGTTTCTTCCCAAGCTTCCCATTCTTCATCAACCTCATCTGGAGTGTAGGCTTCAACTTTGGAAAAAGAACTTTTTACTCCATGATCAACACTCTCCCAAGTGTCGGGGATGGTTACAGTGCTGTGATACCGGCCCTCTGGAGCAGGATTTGGTGAGCGATGAGAGAAGCGAGGAATTGGTAATGACGAAGATAAGAAAAGGTCAATCAAATTGCTGGTTTGGGTTCGGTCCAGCTCGAACCAGAAATGATTTGCTTCATAATAGTTCTCAGCAATTATGGGAGCAAACTCTTCCTCAATCAATGGGCGGCAGTGACGCTTTGTACGGACTTGCACCTTATGTACAAAAAGAAACATACAAAAATGAATCAAGGAACCTTATATACAAAAAGAAACATACATAAATGAATCAAGGAACAATCTCTAATCCCCAACATCAAAATCAAATAAATGCAAGAAATTACGAAGGCACTTCTGCTGCCTCTTTACCTGCGCTGGATATGATGTAAGCTGTGTTCTGCCCCCGGTCCAGGCATATGGATTGATATTCAGTTGGCCTGTACTTGTAGCTTCAAAAACTCCATGTAGCTTTCTGTCACTATAGTTGAATAGGAAAAGGATGAAGCCCGGAGTTACATTCTTCACATAGGAAATATGCCCCGATGGTAATCCTGTTCAATGTATCAGGAGGGAAATAGGCACGAGAAAGGAGAAAATCAATACATTATGACCACAGGGAAAAGGAACATAGTACAGTAATATGATATGATCACTGACCAAATAAATTCTTGTCTTTGCATTCCTTGATAGTCGAATGTGTGCAGCCAAATATGACTGCACCTAGTTCCCTTCTCCGTAAATTTTTTGCGGACACACTGCAGTTGACTGTCCGCTCACGCTCAGCCCTTTCTTGTACTAAAATTGTCTTCGTCTTTCTTCCCGCACCCATGCTCCCCAATTAACAACTAAATATCAGAATGAAGCATGTGAAAATTGCAGACTTCCAAGGACTAACGGAAGTAACAGGTAAATTACAAATCTTGTTCACAAAAGATTTCATTAGCACTTTAGGAAAATCCTGGCAAATATGTGCCTAATAATACAAGCAAAACTAGAATGACGAACTACCAATTGCATAAAACAAGCAGACAAAGTCATGAACAAGTAAAAGCTACAATGGATATGTGTGTGGGGTCTATGAAACAGTGAAACCTTCTAAAGCAGGAAGTAAAATGAACTAAGATGACAAAACTCCTCTGACTACTGCAAAAGAATGCCTGCCTACAAAATATGGCAAGGGACCTGCATTCCCTGAACTCAGCTTTTTACGCCAAGTAGGCATTGTACCCTGATCATATACGTTATTATAATAAGATGTTCAGGACAGGAAGCTACACGCCCTACACCAACACTGTGATCATATCAGTCCTGTACTGACCCTTTTTACAGTATTGTAAGTGTGAAATAATCCAGAAAGAGTGAATATGTTCTGTTCATCACTCGTAAGTCATCTTGAGAACAAAGCCAAACAAAAAGAACTTCTAAAAGAAAATAATTCTAGCGGAGGAACTTCATCTTCAATTTTCATACAACCTCGAAGTATTTTATCTGAGACCAAGAATCAAGCATGTGCCATGCAACTAATAGATTAACACAGATTCTGCAGTTGCTCCTTTAAAGCTTCAACAAATAGTTGAGGACAAGCATTATTCACATGAAAACCATAGATGAGCGAATTAAATGAATACCTTGAGCTCCTTTGTAAGTTGAATTGCATCACAAACACAAAAGCTACTGAAGATTTCTATGACAAAGTAGGAGAACAGTAGGAAGTATATGAAGTTAATTACCACAAAATTAACATGATTCCGAGAAACAAAGTTTCTAAGTTCCTCCAAATTGTTGATGGTCAACAGCTCTACAAGGAAATGTTAACAAAGTTGATGTGCCAGGGACTCATAAGAATTAGAAGCTGCACACAAGGGCATTCACCAAAGATAATGAAGAAAATAGATTCCCATCTGTGCACAAAGTACAGCAGGATATAGAAAGGCCTGTTAATCACACCATCAGCAGGGTGGAAAAATCGAAAGTGAATACCACCTGAACTTTCAATTAGCCTGACTCATATTTTTGACAATCAATATATGCCCAGATACACTGACCCTTCTATACCTAACACACGAAGTAATTCCTGAAGGTTTAACTCTGAATCCGAGTTAAGGAAATACAGGCATAACTCGATGGATGATTGAAAAACTGATAAAGAAATTGAGTTCCTTCCAAATTCAACCGCAATTTCCGTAATTGACATCCACCAGCCGCTAAGATCATTTACAAAGTCTAATCGGTACTGAAAAAATCAACCAAGATTCATCCAATAAATGAAGTTTAGGAACTAATCCAAAAACCCAGAAAGAAAACCCACACGAGCATAAAAGCAAAAATAATGAGATCATATGAAACAAACCCCCCTCAAGTCCATACAAATAACGACGATCACAAAATCTTAGGCACAAAATCAGATGAGCAACTAAAAACGAAGGAAAGAAAGCAAATAGTATTACTTCAAAAGGGGGATTCTCGTAGATTCTTCAGTCAGGGCTTCCCGAAACTTCAATAGCTGATAGAAATTACACCACCATAACAAGAATGGCAACAAAAAACCCAGAAAGAACCATATAAAAGCTTCATTCTTCACTTGACGGGCAGTTTCAAAATCCCAATTACGGAGGGTTTCGAGTCAGAGAGAAGATCAAAATTAAGACCATGAACATGAACAGAAAGCACTAAAATCGAGTAAAAACTAGAGAAGCTGGAGAAAGTATTAGTAGCAATGAATATCCATTGGGAAAATCCTGAGAATTCTAAACGGATGACGGTTTTGTTGGGTTCAAGACCATTCCGAAGATTTTTCAGTACTATTAGTTTTGGAATTCGTGCTGTGATTTCGGAATTTGCATTTTGGACGAAAAAGGCAATAAGTAACCAGCCACCTCTCTGCCGGGGGAAATATTGCCTGCTCTGTGACAAAATGTTTAAATTACCAAAGTGTCCTTCATGCCTTTTGAAATTATTTTCTGACTTTTATTGTGCCAATTTTAAGTTATTTTACTATTTTTTTTTATAATTTATTTCGGAAATTGTTGTGCCATTGTTGTGCCATTTAAAATTGTTTCAGTGGTTTGAAGTTTTAATTCATCTCTTTTCTTAAAACATTTCTAAAGAAAAACTCCAAAGACTAGAATTATGGACTATTAAATGTTACTCTCTCCGTTCCAAAATAAGTGTTATTCTAGAGTTTGCACATAGTTTAAGAAAATATTAAATAAGGTAACTAAATTACTAGAATATCCTCAACCAACCCTAATAAAATAAATGCTCATCAATAATATTATTTCTTTTGAAGGTATGTTTGGAAATTTTTGACAAAAAATGCATTAGAATCTGAAAACGACACTTATTTTGGAATTTCTCTATTTTACCAAAACGACACTTATTTTGGAATGAAGGGAATACGGACTTACGCTCCTATAATGTACGAGATATATTAAAATTTTTGTTATGAAATGGTTATGTTATAAAAATTGTACAGAATTTATGAATCTATTATATATTAGTAAAGTTTAAGCAGACGACAAAATTCTTAAATGGGGCACTTTAAAAGTGTATTTCTTCAACGACATTATGAAAACTAAGAGTATCACAAATATATGAAATTTTTGTGTATGGCAGATACATATTATTTCTATTTATTTTTCTATAATTAAATTAATTTTTTGGTTATTAATAACTGCTTATAGTTAAGAGGTTAGCGAAATTAAGAATGCTAAAAAAATATTCGACGTCTTTTTTAACAAAATCATTGTTAAATATCAATTTATTTTTTTTAAAAAAAAATTAAGAACAAAGACTGAGGTTCTGTTTGCGAACCATAGTTACAATTTGCCCTTTTGTTCGTTTAAATTTCTACTGTGTTTTTATTTTATTTTATTCTATGGAATGTTTTTTTTCTATTGTGAAGTGTTTGAATGAGTTATGTATGTAGTCGTATTAAGGCCTTTTACTCATGAACTAAAAGATGATCAAACACACATTAAAAGTTGAATGAAAGGTCTATTATGGGACATGAGAATTAGTCACTATTACGGTGTTACCGATGGTGGACATTCAGCAATATGTAAAAAAAAAAAAAAGTTAAATGAAAATTGGTCATTAAAAGATTAATTTCCATGGTAATATTCAAAACTTTAAATTCATCGCATTAATTTGAAGATGATTTGCCAGAATAGTGAGATAATAGATTGAGTTATTCTGATACGAATACCATTTTGCAGGGATTATTGTTGTAAATTTTAAAACTTGTTCAAAACTAAATTTTGAAAAATTACCATACAGGATTTTGTCCTACACGACCTCATAGAATCTTCTTTAATTTCTTTTTCTAGTTTTCCTCTTCGTATAATAATATATAATATAATAGATGCAATGAAAGAAGTGTGGAATATGCAAAAAAAAAAAAAAAAACACTTGTTCAAAACTTATTTTTGAGAAATTACCACACAAGATTTTGTCCTACATGTCTTGTAAAAATCTTCTTCTTTAATTTCCCTTTCTAGTTTTTCTCTTATTATAATAATATACTAGATGTTAAACCCGCACGATGTGCAGGGTATGTCATATTTTTATTTGAGTTTTTTTAATATAATTTAAATATGTGTTCACATATGTGTAAATCTTGTAAAATATTAATTATTAGATTTTAAATAAAGAAAATGCGATACGCAAATAAATTACATATATTTACTCTCGGAATCAAAATGTTAAAAGTGGGTACAAAGATCGAAATGTTGAGCAATTGTTTCAGTATATAAATATATATTGTTATTGTAATGTATTTATTTTAAAAATTACCAATTATAAATTGTTAATGCAAAACTTATTTTATTGGGCCATTTTCCTAATCATGTATACTACTTAATGTAAAATTAATTTTATTGCGCCGATTTCTTAATCATGTATATTTATGAGGACTTTGTTTGATATTACAAAAAGTTACTTTTTTTGAATTGATGAAATAATGGCATATAAGATAAAATTCTATGTGTCACTTTAGGAAAGACCAACCAGTTTCTTTCTCTGGTTTCTCTATTGTATATAACTATAGATAGATAGATAGTACTCCCTCTGTCCCAAAATTATTGTCCAATTTAAGATTCCACTTTTAGTACAATTTGAACTAGAAATAAAATTTCAAACTGGACAATAATTATGGGACGGAGGGAGTATAATAGATGCAAGTGTGGTGTGGAAGAAGTTTCAAAACATATGTAAACGAAAACAACAAGCTAGCAGAGGCACATGTAAGCCACGTGCCGGTGGATAGCAAGATGCTTAGGAGGCAGGTTGTACTTTTAGTAGGTAGGTAGAATCGAGAGAAGCAAGAGCGGAGCTAGATCCTAACACGAGCTGGGGCAAAACTTTTCACAAGAAAATTTCCATTACTCAAAAAAAGCCAAGTAAATAAAACACAAAAAAAACTCACAAAATGAAAACTTACAAACTTTCTCCACATAAATAAGGCAAAATAATTCATCCCATGAAGTAAGAAATTAAGGATATAAAAACACAAATATGAAGTATTTCATTTGATATTGAACCGTAGACAGGCAATATGGTTGAGAGGCTTTGACAATTGAGAATGTAAGAAAACATGAAACTTAATTTTATTCTTTTTTCCTCTTTGGAAAGAAATGAAAAGTCTTTAAACTTTATGGTAAAATAAAAAACTAGTGAAATTGGTATGACAAAACAATTAAAGTCAAATTCTACAGTCCTATATTTTCACCTTGTAAGAGTTAGTTTGCAATTTCATTTTTTGCCCCTAGTCTTCCTAAATTTTACCGGGACAAACATTGGTAACCTATGAAATGTAAGCAATATCAAGGGTGATCGAGTAAAATCGAGCTGGGACAATTGCCCCACCCGGTTACATACCTAGTTACTAATGTAACTCCGCCAAAGAAGACTATAAACGGTTTCAAAAGACTAATGAGGCTTGAGAGACTCGATATATCTACGATGGAAGAAAGCTACAAAAAACTACAAAAAGCTATGTGGCTTTGTTGGAGGTGCATTGAGACACATATAACAACGAGTTAAAGATTTCCAAAAGCAAAGATTCACCAGAGAATGGATAAAGCGGCATTTGACATGTGAAAGAAATTGAGGAACATATAGACAGGCTAAAAATTCGACTAAAAAGTAAAGTTGTGTAAAAAAGTAGTAAAACGTTGTCTGGACGGACTAGAAAATACAGAGGGTTAAAAGTGAATAAAATTTACATGACTAGTAAAATAAGAATATACAAATCCATTAAAAAAAAAAAAACCTAGAAGGGAAAAATAGTAGTCGAGGAATATGGGACAAAAAATAAACTCACTTGGCCATCATTCTCTTTGGTTTCCACAACCCAAAAATTATTTTGAGTCTACAAAAAGATGAAAGTATCCGTTATGTACAAAAGAATACGAACATGCGAAAATCAAAAGTGTATAAAATTATCCCTAACTCCGAGTTCATCATGAATCAGCATCTAAACTATTTCAATGAGTTACTTAATTATTCTTACGTTTCACGTTCTTTTAAGACCTGAAACCCTACATGGAATATAAGGGATATGTATAGGTTACCATGAGTATAGTACTGGATAGTCACCGGAGTATATATAGATACGGAAAATATAAAAACATTAGTAAGTAGAGAAAAAGCATAATGAAGTCGATAATATCAAAGAGATTGACAAAACTAGAGGAAAGGAGTATATATATCGAAAAAGCAAAAATCTAGAACACGTATTGTCAATTTATCTATGTAGTATACTAATGCAAACCCCAAAAAGAGGAAACTATAATTTTATTGGCATTTTTTTTCTTCCACTTATCATTGATTAATGTTACTTCTTCCGTCTCACCAAAATAATCCAGTTTCAAAATGTACGACTTTTTTAATTTAGTCAACCCATATACAACTCATTTTATGCTTCAAACTTTCAGTTTTAGTTCAGACTAAAAAAATTAATTTCCATAATTATTAAAAAAACAAAAACAAAAAAACCACCGTAAGTTTCCCAAGCCAAAGGAGCTGTGAGCAACTCTGATCAGTTTCACCTTTTCAATTGGATTGTCTGCCGTTGCCGCTGCCGCCATTGCCGCTGTTAGCCATTCATCTCCGATCAATTTCATGTTTTCAATTTGTTCATTTTTGTTGCCGCTGAAGAATTCCAATTTGGTTCGTCTCTGTTGCCGCCGCCGTTCGCCATGCAAGGGGCTTATTGTACCCGTACAGTGATTTAAAAACTCAACACCGGTTCGTCTCTGTTGCTGCTGCCGTTCGCCATTCAAGGGGCTTATTGTACCTTCAAAAACTCAATACCCTAGCGCCGCAACACTCAAGAAATCAAAGGAAAGCGAGCGGCACTGTGGGCGATCGAAGTAAAAGGAAAAATGCACGGGCAGAGCCCGGTGAGAAAAAAGCTGATGGTAGATGGTACCACCTACAATGGTGGCTCTGTTTTTCAAAATTTTCTTCAGGTTCGTATCTTAGAAAGTTGGACTGTTGGAGTAGATCTAGACGGTGATTGGACAATTAAGTCATTTTACTTATTTCAATTTTGATTTTTTTGAAATTAGACTATTTTTTTTACAAGATTTTTTTTATCAAACTGGATTATTTTGGGACGGAGGGAGTATTTTTTTCTCCTACAACTTTCTGTGTACCAAGATAGTTGAAGTAACTCTTCGAATAAATTTTAATTTGTAATTAGATTTTTAACCTCCTCTTTGATCATCAAGGAAATAAATTTTTTTTAAACAAACAAGTGAAGGAACATCCGGTTGTTCTAGAGTTAGAACTATATGATTCGGGTTTCCAAAGGCCTGATTTCCAACTCGAAGAAATCAAAGGACAATAAAGTGAGAAAAATAAGAAAATATATATTTAACCGAATTTACTTGAACATGTATTGTCCAGACAATTTAGACCATGCTTTGACTCTTCAAAATGGAATTCTTTATTTTATTTATTTATTTTTAATATCATAATATGAAAGCATTTTTAACAAACTTGAGAATAGAGATGCCTATCTTTTTCTGATTTCTGATTGTATAAAACCAAGAAAAACGAGCTACATATTGTAAAATTAGGACAGAATACAGGTGATTTTGTACTGAACCTTTCGGGTCATCATAGTAAAGCAGAAAAAATGAATTTTGACAAATGATTGAAGGAAATAGTAAGTTCAAAAAATAAATTAATTTGATACTTTTAATTTTTTCACCTTAAATAAAATCAAGAACTTGTAAAACAATAATCTAGTCTGTCCGCTGAAAATGTCGTGAAAGAATTTTTTTTTACAAAATAAATAAAATGAAGAAGAAGAATGACACCTCTTTTTCATGTTGATTCCTAATATCAAAAGCAACACAGGACTAATTTGTTCTTCAAGAAGAAGAGTGAGATTTTGTTTCCTTTTTTTTTTTTTTTATATATATATATATATTACGCATCCGGTGTCCGAAGTCATTATTCTGATGTATCCGAATTCGAATTGAGCAAGTTTTTTTTGAGAGGCAAAGCTCTCCCAAGAAATTTTGTTTCCTTTTTAACAATACTTCTGTAACTCTTCGTTCAAACTTCAAATGAGCCGCAATTAGTTCTTCAATTGCAGGTGCTATTCACATGCGCAATACTCAAATACTTGATACACGCGACTGTTAACACACACACAAAAAAAAACCTACAAAACATTGTAAGTCTTCTCTCAAATGTCTGCCAAAAGGACTACTATCTCGCAATCTCGATAACTCTTCTAAGTACAAATCCGACCAACTTAATATAAAAACAAAAAGAAAAAGGGGAAGTGAAAAGATCGATCATCAATTCACAATCGAGCTGTTCAATATCAACAAAAATTACTTCCTCGAAATACCTCCACTTGAAGAGGAAGGTTGCCCAACAGTAACCATCTTAAGCTGTTTTCTCAATCTTTGAATCTCCATTCTCGCGCAAACCTAAAAGGAATTGGGGAAAAGAACAATCCAGATTCAACTTGATTATCCAGGAGAAAGAAGGATGAAAACATGATGCTAATTATACCAACAATCATCGCCTTCAGATTTTTTAACAAATGGAAAAAAAAATTTAAGGAAAAAAAAAAGGCAAAATGAAAATGTTTACCAGCTCATGGTCCTGGGAACTCATCACAGCCTCATACTCTTTAACTTTTTGCCTTAGCTACACAAAAATAAAATTAAAACAAAAGAAGAAGAAAAATTAACAACCAGAATACCCCCGGCAAACAGAGTGTGACTGCAGTAAATTCATGCGCCGGTTAAAAAGCAGTCTAATAAATTACCTCATAAATCTCAGACTGAGGATCACTGTTTCTGTCTCCCACATTGGAGGGATATGATGATACAGGTAAGAATTTTGACATTTGTGGTCTCGCAATTTCCTCTCTTGTTATGCTTTGAGATGCCGAAGAAGCTTTAAAAAGCGAACTCCATGACGTTTGAGGGACGGAATTGGTTGTACCTCCTAGTGCCGAGGCGTAAGAACATTCGCCTTCTGGTTTAGTGTTTGCAACAGTTTCTTCCTCCCAAGTTTCCCATTCTTCATCCACCTCTTGCGGAATGTTAGCTTTATTTTCGGAAAAATAACTTTGTACTCTATGCTCAGTACTTTCCCTAGAGTCAGGGATGATAGTTACGGCGTTGTGATGATACCCGCTGCCTTCTGGAGAAGGATTCTGTGAGCGCTGAGAGAAGCGAGGAATTGGTGACAACGAAGATAAGAAAAGGTTTTTCAACTTGCTGGTTTGGGTTTGGGTTTGGTCCAGCTCGAACCAGAAATGGTTTCCTTTGTAATAGTTCTCAGCAATTATTGGAGCAAACTCTTTTTCAGACAATGGCCGACATCGATGTTGTACACGGACTTGCACCTTATATGAAAAAAGGAACAGACAAAAATGAATTAATGAACAATTTCTAATCCCCCGACATCAACATCAAAACAGCTAGATTACAAGAAATTGCAAAGGCAGTTACAACTGTTGTGTCTTTTTTACCTGCGCTGGAAATTTTGTAAGTTGAGTTCTGCCCTCAGTCCAGGCATATGGATTGATATTCAGTTGGCCGGGGCTTGTAGCTTCAAAAATTCCATGTAGCTGTCTGACAGCATAGTTGAATAGGAAAAGGACCAAGCCTGGAGTTACATTCTTTACATAGGAAAAATGTCCATATGGTAATCCTGTTCAATGTATCAGGAGGAAAAATTACACGAGAAAGGGATAAAATCAATACAACTACGACCACAAGGGGAATGGAAGTCGTATGGGTAATAAAGATATGATCAATTACCGAATAAATTGTTGGCTTTACATTCGTCGATTGTTTTATCAGTGCAGCCAAATATGACTGAACCTAGTTCACGGTTCCTTAAATTTTTCGCAGACACGCTGCAGTTGACTGTACGTTCACGCTCGGCTTTTTCTTGTATTGGAATCATCTTCGTCTTTCTTCCCGCTCCCATGCTCTCCAATTAACAACTATACAGATCGAAATCAAAGCAGGGTAAAATTCGCAGACTTCCAAGAAGTAACTGAAGTAAGGGTATGTTACGCTCTTGTTCACTAAAGATTATGTTCATGAGCACTTTAGATAAATGTTGGCAAGAATGTGCCTAGTTATACAAAGAAAACCAAAAAACAGAACTATAAATTTCAGAAAAACTTGTATGCAAAGTGATGTACTAGTAAAGTCTTTGAAGCAGTGAAACCTTCTAAAGCAAGAAGTAAAATGAACGAACCTGGTTGAACCATGTATTCCCTGAACTCAGTTTCTCATGCCAAGTAGGCAAGTATCCTCCCTGATCATATACATTTTGACTAGGTCTCTTCCTGCCATGCTACCCGCAGCAACCCTTTTTGTTTTTTATTTTTTGGTACAATACAAGAGACAAAATTAAAATTATCAGCTATATGACAAGGATGTGGAATCCCAATCACGTTCATCTTGGTCCTTTTGTTGTACTTGTTTGAAAGAAGCAAAGGAATAATCGAGTGTGAAAGTACCCGAATCATTTCGTACAATGCAGGCCAAGACATACCTACTAAGAAGGGAATGCAGTACAGGCTGATAGTGAAATTTCATTTAAAGCAAAATGCAGGGCATATAACGTCTTGTTTGAATACACAGACAAAATAACTTAAGCTTAGAACTTTTTATAAGGTAGTTAGTTCGAGACACTATGCCAATGCTAATGAAGAGAAAAAGCAACAAAAGATGTATAGTTAATAACTGAAAAGATCTATGAAATTTGGAATTAAAACAAACTCGAACACTTGCGAATCTAAGATCGCTAAACAAAACTACAGAAAGTACCTATAAAAAATGAATGTGCAAATTTTCTTTTTCTTCCCATTATTTTGAATTGTGCCATTGTTGTGCCATTTAAAAGGGTTGCACTTTTCATTTCATTCGTTTTCTATCAAAACAATGAAAATTAAATGCATTCTAACTTTGAAATGTTAATTTTTTAAAAAATTATAATCCTATAAAAGAGGAAGGATTTGGGATAAATGGCATAAAATTAGAGAAGTTATTGAATAAATTGAAAAATATAGATTAATGGGATGTTGTAAGTTTTTACATTATCAATACATTAAAAAGATATCACACATATTATTCTATCGAATCCAGTGAACATGATAGGAATTACCTCTGATTAAATGAAGTTTTCATCCACGGATACATTCTTCAAATGTACTTCCATCTTCCAGGCGGTAGGTACTAATATTGCTCAGTCAGTCAGATTGTCTACATAAACAATGACATTTAATAAATAACTCCATTACTATTTCTCATGTACAACATCATAAAGTATCAGATAATAATAGGGAAATATAAAATATACCTAAAAAATTGCCAACCATCCCGTCATCGACTACAATCAAATCAGATTGCTATATTCGCCGCACTGACAAAATCGGAATCCATACTTAAAAAAGATTTCCATAGGTTTATATGTAGCCATAATTCCATTGACCGCCATACATGTAAAATAGATCAGATAAAAAATGATTTACAGATTGGGAATTTAGCGAGAATTTGATCTGATTTTGGTATGGGATAAGTCTCCTCAAACTTATGAAAACTTAACTATTCAAATTTGGGGTTTCCAGCAGAATATGATTATGCACGGAGATGTGTAGAAGTTAAGCTAATTGTAGCTAGGATTTCCGATTGCCGGAAGTCAGAACGAAATGGGAATAATATTTACAAATTAGGATGACATGTTGACGTATATTCCAGATCCATTGAAAAGAAAAAAAAACATATAAATTGGGCCTTTGTACTATCATTGCTTTTAAAAAAGTTTCAAATCCAGTTATAGCCACATTCTGGCAGGTCCATTTTATGATTTTTTTTTTTATATATTTTTTTTAACTTGCTGCAAACTTAGTTGTACGTTTCCATTATTTTGGTTATATAAACCCAAAGTTTTCTCCGCACCAGCAATTTCATATCGGATGGAAACATCGAATTATATATATTATATGGAGTTTGTATAATTACATATTTGCATCGTTCGTCCTTCATCTATTTTAATAAAAAAATTCAACCATATATTTTATATCAATTATTCATTTACATAAATAATCTATCTGATAGATTATAATATTTTTTTTGTATATATTTATTTTTCATAAAATATATTTATTTTTATTATTATTGATATATATTTAAGTACAGGGAGGTCAGGCGGGCGTCTCCCAGGCATCGCCCGGGCCAAGCATCTACTATTGAATTATTCATATATGTGAATTTATATTAATTATCCGGTTATTTTTATGATTTATAGATAGTTTGTTAACCAAGTTTGTTAGGAAAATTTGTCTGGAGTTTAATTTTTTCAAAAAGAATTATATATAGTTTGTATAGTTTGTTAAGATAATTAATTGTTTTTTTTTAAAAAAATTGTAGATAAATTGTTGAGATAGTTTGTTAAAATAATTGGTTAAAAGTTTAATTACGAGCCAAATTCTGTGAAGTCTCCAATAACTGCATTTTTTAATTTGTCTCCAATTACGAAATTTCATACCAATGTTATCTTATCTGTTTTTTTTTAAAAAAATAAAATTATAAATAATCGTTCTTTTTTTTTGGAAAAAAAAATTATAGATAGCTTGTTAAGATAATTTGTGAATAGTTTAATTACAAAAGAAATTCCAAAGGCACTACATATATTATCATGTCGTATTTTGACGATCACAGCTCTGTGCTCCATGTAAATAGTTCTTTTTTGTATCGTCCATTCTCCTTTTGTTTACTAATTATTTATTTAGATAAGAAGCCAAATTTTTGAATTGCTGCTTATTGACACTTTTGTTTTTTTTTTTTTTGTGCAGTTCAAGATTGACATGGGTCTTGGATACCTACACATGGTGCCCAACAATGTTGTTGGAAAGGGATTGGTAAGATAGTTGCTCACTATGTACACAAATAAATTTTAGAATTTGATATTTGTGTTTTGATCACTATTTAATTTTTTTTTTTCTAAAATTATTTTGTTGTTCCATCAAAATTAGAAATGAAGATACATTTTTTCCCCTCCCTTTGTGCAGTTGTTGTGCAACGTATGGCCATGGTTCTGGAACAAGCAGGTACTGTCGGCATGCCTAATGTAGAACACAGGGTACCTATTAGTTATCACTAAAGTACCACATTCGTACACCAAATCAGTCCATTAATCGGTTGTTGTTTGTTGCTTTAACTGCCCTAATTGCTCAGCCACCGAACTATTTTTCTAAGCAAACTTTTTTTTCGTCGGTTTTGAGCTATTGCTCCTAAAGAGAAATTCAATTTGAAAAGGATTTCTCTTGAATTAAACCACTCCAGATCTTATGTGTTCTAGTTCACTACGTAGTTTTGTTGGTGGTTGATGAATGTCTAACTAGTTGTAATGTCTTATTTGGGATATTTGTCTTAATTAGGGGAGTGGTGTGATGGACGAGTTTGAAGTAAGGGTGCCTGGAGTAGTAGTGGTGATGTCAGATTTGGGTGGGGGGATTGGGGGAATAGAAGCTAATGTTTGATTTGGGGTGGGGGAGAGGTGGCGAGTGGTGAAATTGTGAAGGTAGATTCGGCATAGGAGGAGGAGATGAAGATATATACTGTAGTTAAAATTTTTATTTTTAAAAAAAATTCTAAACACTACACCGTAGATGTAAAACTAAAATTTTTATACCAGTACTATTATTAAAAAAATCTGATTTACTAAAAAGTAAAATTATAATCAAATTATTTTATTAAATTTTATACCAAATAGCGCAATCGTAACTGTAACCTCATCAGTATTACTACCCATTACAATTGTATTGGTATACATTACATTTCACGTTAGCCAAATGACAAAACAAATGGCTCTTTAATTGTAAGCTAGCAAAAGAGGATTGCAGCACTTCACACACACACACACACACACACACACATATATACACATACTCGAGTAACTCACAATCACCCTTCTCCCTTTAGGTCAGGCTCCTATATAAGCGAGCCCTTGCACATTGGAGAAGTAATGCTAATCGTTTGTGTTATCATTAAAGTTAAATATGTACATCATCTTAGCAGGATCATAAGTACCATAGGGAAACCAATGGAGATGGATAAAATGATTTCTCAAAGGAATAGGGCTGGGTATGCTGGGGTGCTGATGGAAATAAATGTAGCAGAAAAGATGCCTAGTAGGCTATGGTTTGAAGATGAAAATAGCGTTGTTTAAGAACAAGAAATAAGATATATGGGAGCCAGTAAGATGTGCAAATGTCAAGGCTTTGGGCATGAGACAGTAGCCTGCAAGAAGCCTAAGTGAAGGTCTAGAACCAGAAAGCTAGTACACTAGAGGAGATGTCTCGTCAACCAACTGTAGAGACTATAGAGGTTCAATAGAAGGTTAAGGAACCAGGAAAGGGGCAGGAACAACACAAAGAGGTAAATGTGGGAAAGAAAATCTATGACAGAAGGAACGAGAAGAAATATAATGGAGAAAGCAGAGGTAGTTCAGTTGAATAAGAATGGAGGGAAAGCAAAAGAGGGAAGAAGGGAGATGCTATAGGATAAGGAAATTCTAACAAGGTCTAATGGAGCTAGTAACCGTATAGTTTGTAGTAACCATAGATAATATCTTAATTTGGAATGTGAGGGCACTTAATTGTCCCCTGAAACATATAAAGATAGGATCTTATCTCTTTCTAAATAACGTTGCTATTGCAGGCTGCTAGAAATTAAGGCTATGTTTGGATCATTTTTTCAGTGTGTGTTTTTAGGTTTTTTTGTATTAAGAACGTAAAAAGGTGTATTGAAAATGTCAAAAGATATGCTGGGATGTGATAGTTATTACTCCTTCTATTCACAAATAGATGTCACTGGAGAGATTTCACAAAGTTTAAGGAGACGATAATTATCTTGCTAAAATACTATAATACCTTCATTTACTCATAATACAATTGCAGTCCCAATAACATTTAG